TGAGATGTATCAGAAGCACAAGTGCTGGGTTCATGTAAAACAGTTGGAGATGCCACTGAGGCCGTGAAGGGAGTTCACAATCATGTTGGGGATGCAGCCCATATGGAAGCTTTGAAGATGGAAGATGTTGTACGTGATCGTGCAATAAATAGCCAAGAAGCACCCCAGTATATTATATCTAGTTGCGTCTGTGGGACTTACGCAAAATGCTGCAAGACATATTGCAAAGAACGACAGTATTGAAAGAACAAACATCAGAATAAGGAAACAAGCAGCACTAGCTTTGCCTATAACCCGAGAGGAAATTGTATTTCCCGAGGAATACAAGATATTTAAAGAAAATGAACCGTTCTTTTTGTTTGATTCAGGGCTGACGGAAGATAGACTTGTTATATTTTCCACGGCAAAAAGTCTCCGTTTACTGGCTTCATCTGAACACTGGTTTTGGGACGGAACTTTTAAAACAGTGCCTCATTTGTTTTACCAACTCTACACACTCTGAAGAGTTCAATTCCGCTTTTGTATGCTCTACTACCAGACAATTCAGAGGCCACATATGTTGGGTTATTGCAACAAGTAAAACAGGTTCAACCTAATGTATTCCCAGAAATAGTTGTGGCCGATTTCGAACCTGCCGCAGTTAGTGCTATTCGTCAACAATTTCCAAGTATTAGACATCGAGAATGTTTCTTGCTTTTCTCGCAGTGTATATTCAGAGGATTTAGGCAGAAAATTTTCAAAGAAGGTTAGAAACTGACATCAAATTTGCATGAGAATGCGTCTGTTGTCTGCGTTGGTCTTCTCCAAACAGAAGATGTGGTAGAAGCATTTTAGATTCTTAGCGGTAGCGGTGATAGCATGTCTGCAGAAGCACAACGCTTGATTGATTACTTTGAGGACTGCTGGATTAGACGCCCTCAACGACGCATGGAACACCGAATACCCTCCTTCTCTCCAGAAATGTGGAGCTGTCACGAAGGAGTAAGACACCGTCTTGCGAAGACAAATAATCCAGTTGAAGGGTGACGTCGTAGATTCGAAATATCTGCACAACATCCTAATATCTGGAGGTTTATTGAAGTGATTCATTGTGAGCAGAGCATCAGATCATTGCAATTAGAAGCAATAAGATAGCCCACTAACAAGAGATATAGGGATTGCGCTGAGACTTTTCAGAGTAGTTGAGAATTATTACAGTTTTTGAGAGGGTGTGGCACATAATATAAATTACAAATTAGGTATTGCGTGCAAAAAATGTTTCAGAAATTTTTTTCAATTAAATTATTCTAATGAAATCTGCTTTATTCAAAGTTTATAGGTCATACATCATCATC